GCCATCTTCAACACCGCCTTCGCGGCTGAGTGGTTCTTTTAGACGGTGGGTCTTTTTTCTCGGTGGACTTCCGAGAGATCCAACTCGAGCTGATTGACCTTCTCGTAAAGACCAGCCAGCTCCGACTTAAGAGAGGCCATTCTTTCCGAGTCCCCACCTGCCGGAAAAGAGGGAAATCCTTCCGCGCCGACTCCTCCGCTCATCACTCCCAAATTGGGCCTCATACAAGGCAACTTCTTTTTCGGCGTAGCCGAACCGATGGTGAAGGCTGCTTTACCGCCGATCTTACTCTTTCGTAAATTCGCCCACGGCCCCTGCGGTGCAGGCCGTGAGTAGCCTTTTTGTGTGTGTGTTAAGGACTGTGGTGTGGTTACAGTGTGCATGCATGTGTGACTTGTTCCATGTATGTTTGGCATCTTATAATAGTGTTGTGTGTGTGAGTATGAATGAAAACGTGTAAGCGGTTGTGTAACATGTCGTGTGTGTACTAAAATGTGTGATCGCTCTTTGAAACAACATAATTTAACAAAAAATTCTTTTTTCTTCACAGAGTTCTGTGGATTGCCCTACTGCAGTTTAACCCACAAAGCTACCTAAGATAAAGACTTAATACTTAATACTAACAAAACGAATATATGTAAGCTTATACTATAATAGCTAATCATAGATAAAAATACAAGAAATATTAATTAATAACATGCCGTTATATAAAAAGTGTTATCTAATAATAGGTTGTTATCCCGTGGGATCTTTCGGATGCCGCGAGGAGGGACGTCGGGAAGATACCAGAATTTTGTTAATAGAACAGTAGATTATTGTGTTGTCGAAATTACACTTTTATTGGTCAACTCGTGTTTACACTTTAATTCACCTTTGACTTTAATTCTAAGTTCCCACAAGTGATGCTCTGTCGAGCAGAGCCTTCGGCCGCGACACGTCTCGGGATTATTCCGACGACGCACAGGTGATGCCGGCTTTTATACCTCAGCCAATCAATCATGATTGGCGGAGGAAAAACCTGACGGTATTCGGTGTCCGAAAAGTGCAATGCAGACCATTGCATCTTTTCGGCCGCGCGTGCGACCTTTGGTCAGCGCGTCCTTGGACGCGCTATCACATTTCGCGTAGCGACCG